TGCTGCTCTAGGTCTAAATCACAAATTGTGCTGCCTCTTATAAGTTCTCCTCAGAAAAGAGTATTTATGGAATCCAAAAATTGCAGTCTCTGCATCATCCCTGTCATGACGCTTATTTAGCTTGCAAGGGCATTGTCAAAATTTCTTACTGTTGTATATTTTTTGCTTTTGCAGCATCTCTCTCTTTCTATCTTTTAACATTTTAATTGACCTTCTGGATTTGGTGGTCTCCATTTGTTGTGGAATTTTATAGGGCTTTTGTATTCCTGTTGCTGATTCTTAGGTTTTTTTGAGGTGGAGGTCCACCTCCCGCCCTCCACTCTTCCATCGATCATTCATTTACAGTTTTTATGCTGATATACCACTGATTATCTTCCTTCAGCAGACTTTGAGTATACAATCACCTAAACTTAGAGATCTCATTTTGCATTTCAAAACTTTGGGTACATTTGTACCATCTCCTTAGCTACTTGTTCTTGGTTTTGTTCCCTGTTGTATACACTTGAATCTCAAATATGATGTTGTTGTGACTGGTCCTTGACAAAATTCAGGTAGGAAATACATTCCTTCTATCTTTTACCAGCCTTTAAAGAAAAAGTCACCTGTACAGTGCACTTTGCTGTCATTGTTGACTTCCCTGATTGTCTGTTTAAAAATTACTCCAAAGCCTTTTTAAAATAAAGTGCCAGCAGCCTGGTTCCTGAAGAGAGATCCTTGGAGATCAGTACAGTCCTGGGGGTTTTTGAGTGTGAGGATGTTGAGTGATGTGCCAAATTTTGGGAACTGTAGCCTGTCTCTGCAGGTCTTGGACTCCTTTTTGCCTGTATAAAGTTTGGAGATGCTGCTAAGAGAGACTGCACTATGATCCCTTATGACTGATGGTCTTTGTAAGAAGAGTAGAACAGATTAGTTGTAAAACCAACCTTAGTTTTACATTGGTTTTTTTTTTTCCTCATTTGAAAGGTGTGGAGAAGGGAGAAAAGTTATTTTTCCCTTTCTAAGTCATCTTTTGAATTTTCTGGTTAATCAGTTACAGTGTTGTCTGTGGGCTGATGATGATGTGGGTAGTGGCCTGCTGAGAACGGGGCTAAAAATCTCCTTGTGAAAGGTGAAGTATGTGAAGTATAATATTCCTCATGTTGTTGAGAGCTTGACTTCATTGGTAAAAATGGTATGAATAACCCAGAGTTTGTGAGTATCCTTCAGGAAATCTTCAGTTTTGGTCAGATCAAGGAAATTCATCTTCATAGAATTAGTAGCATCAGTTGCTCTGAAATATAAAATGTAGTTCCTATTGCTATGATTTTTTTGTTCATTCTACTATCAATGGTATAATGGACTCTTAATGGATAGAAGTGGTTTCTTTCTTTTGGAAGGAGAAGAGAGAGGACAAAATATCCATTTATACTTAGAAAAATTGCTCAGGTCTTCTGAAAAGGCAAGTAGTGTCCAAAAAAGCTGAGTAAGTGTGTGTCCCAATGGGTAAATGATGACTGTAGGACCTCCAAGTAAAAGATTTCCAAATGACTTGCACAGCAGATGCTCAGTACCTTCTCTGCTAGGTGTATCAGATAGATCCTTTTTCAGAAAGAAACAGCTAGAGGGAGACCAGAAGACATCTCAGCTGTGGCCCTGGAGAAACTTATGTCAAAAGTCAGAATAAAGCATGATCTCCCCTCCTCTTCTGTTGTTTTGCTGCTGTTCAGCAGCTCATGGGGCTAGCATGTGATTGCAGAGAGGAGGCCAAGAAGCATGTAGCACAGGAATCCAGCCTAGTTCTTCCAAGGATTAAACAGTCGTAAGACAAAGGATCAATTTCCAGAAAGGTGTTTATAGACCTTATTTGTTAAAGGGTGTAGGGTGTGAGACATATGTAAGAAGCAATAGGACTCTTCCCTCAAATGGAAAGAAGCTATGTTGAGTCTTTTCCTCAAAGGTTGAACCTTTGGGAATGCTATGGAGATAGGAGTGAAGCCCAGAGTGGCTCTGTCCTGGGCTGACCATGCACACCAGAGCCACAGGCCTGCACTTGGCCACAAGCAGAGGAAAATAAATGCACTGCAGAGACAAGCAGGCTTTTGCCCTCCATGAGCTTCTGTGTTTAATGCAGTTACTCTTTCTGTGCAGCTGCAGGCTTGTGCAGAGGAAGGGAGGCATGCAATCTGAGGAGGATCAGAGCTTGAAGCCTTTAAGCCTCTTGTAGCTGTGCTCACTGATAGTCAGTGGGCAGTGCAGAGGAGGAGAGCTGGTCTGACTCGCTGTGACAAGAGGCTGAGGATAGACCATGTCTGAACAAAGCTGAGCTCTGGCAAGTTTGGTCCTGTGTCAGGGGCTACCTGTGCCGTGTGGGTGTTAGGAAGGTTTATCCTGCCTCGTGGTTTAAGTTTTATCCTGAGCTCTTTCAGTCCAAGCTTGACTTGATGGCACAACTTTCGTCTGTCTTCAGCCTATGTAACCAAGGCTCACATGTTCGCATTCCTGACAGTGCCCTGAGCTGGTGGGGCACATCTGTAATCTCTTGGTGGCTATTCCCACTGACTCCCTGCAATGTCCCAGCACCAAGAATGAATTTAGCACAGATATCTGTTGCTGATCCTTAACCAGGCTAGTCCAGGTCCCAGTGGAGGGCACACTGTTTGATACAGGAGAAGTTTGGCCAGACATGGTTGAAAATTACTTGTTTGTAAGCTAAATAGGGTGTCTGAGGGTAGCAGATATCTCTGTTTGAAACATAAGCATTCTTCCTGTCTCAAAAATCCACCAGCTAGATGGAGGAGCAGGAACTTTTTGGAGAGTTTTCTGGGGCTGGATGGCACAAGCTGATTTTCGTCTCAGCTGCCAGATATGGCAACTGAAATGTATTTGGTCTGAGATTTTTATCCTGGCCAGTGAGTGATCCTTCCAAAATGAGGCATTTGGGAAACATGGAGATATGACAGAGAAAGAATGCAGAAAGCACAAGGAGGTTTCGCTAGAAGGCAGCCTGGGCAACATGTCTGAGCTCATGCCTGGGTTACAGGGCTCTTGGGACATCTGATCTGTGTAGCTGATGTGCTTTGATGTGGTTTATAGGCAGCATAGTATTCGCCTTTCTTAGTCCTTGCTTTCTATATCTGTAAAGTAGTAGACCTTTCCAGTGACTGTGAATACATTGAGCACTGCAGAGTCCTTCTTTAGGGCAGCAGTTGCCTAGTGGGGCTGTGTTGTTGCTGTTTAGTTGGCTGTGAGGCATAAACAGTATCCTCTCCAGTCTGTTGCTCTGGAATAATGAGTCATGGTCATGTTAATTGATTCCTATCAATCTAATTTTACCCATAAGGAAACACTAAATGCAGTGGACTTTTGACTATATCCTCATTTACTCTGAGTGTGATGAGTTCACTGGCTTTATAGAGGTTGTATTGGTGTAGCATGAATAACCATTGTTTTTTTATGCTGCTAGTCAGTCTTGGTTCAGTTAGCACTAGTCTGGTACTGTTAGTGTTTTCCTGCCTCCTGGCAAATATCGTAGCCTGCAAAAGAGATTGGAAATCTCTGTTTCAAGCAAGAATGAGAATGGCTGCACGGCCACCCGGTATCTCTCTTGAGTGCCTTCTCAGTCCTTCCAGTTATTGGATGCTCTTGTGTGTGCCTGGTCACTGTCCCCCACAGCAAATATAGGCCTAAATCAGGCCTATGTTGCTAAGTGAAGGTGTTGCTAAACAACAAAAAAATGTTTTTTCCCCAAACATGGTTGAGTGTGCAGAGCCTTGGGAGCAAGCGAGAGCTGAGTTTTAGCATACCTCTTTTTCAGATTACCAAGATGCCTGCAAATGCTTGGGAAGTGTCAGGGGAATAGGTCCTTTGAAACCAAATGGTGATTGAAACACAGGCACAAACAGTGTAACTCAAGGAGTGAGGGAAAAATGGCTTTTGTAGGTTCCTCTGCAGTTTAGAGTACTCTTGAATATGCTGAGTGCACTTTGGCTCCCACTTTATGACGAGAAGAGTGTGATCCTAGGCACTAAAGCAATGATTTCTTCTCTCTTCCATTTAAGGGTGGGAATGAAGGTCTGTGCCACTGTCGATTGCTCTTACTGCAGTGTGTGTGGCAAAACCTGTGGTGCTACATCACTTTGTTGCTGAATTGGAGAAAGAGCTGTGGAGTTAAAAGGCCTAATGTCTTCAGTCTGCATGCTGCCACTGCAGGACCTTCTCAGCTGGACATATGGGGGGCCTTTGGCACAGTAGAGACTGTAGCTGCAGGGTTTTCTTCTTGTAGCGCTTCAGAGCATTTTACCAGGGGCAGTTGCCAAGCCCCATCATGAAAGCAACCTCAGTGTGTAGGATATGTGCTGTCAGCAGTTCCTTTGCTTTCAACCTTGATGTTTTTCTAGGTTCTCTTGGTGGTCATAGGGTGAGTCTTGTCTTGGGAGGGTGCTCATTTGTAACAGCGTCATACAGTGACTGAGCCAGATTAATATCTCACTTATTAAAAGTGGACAGGTTTCTCTGTTGGCCCTTTCTCCTTGCACTTGTCTGGTTGGAAAATAATTTATTTCAACGCATTAACCTAGTAAAAATTGTGGTGGGTTTTGATGGTCTTGTTTTCTGCCATTTTTAATGAGCAAAATTGGACTACTGGGTAAAGTGGCCATTATCAGAGCAGGTGCAAAGTAAGGAGTGGGATGTGTGTGTGGACAGGAACATACATGCATGGGTGAGATCAGGGGAAGCAAGACCTCCATTTCAGTGGCGGCAAGTATTCATTCTGCTCAATTCTGTTGTAAAACCTTGCCTTGAATATCCTGACTGTTGTAAGTGCAATGGGGGAACCTTTCTTATGGCCTAATTGCAAGGGGTAGCTGCCTTTATCTCTTAATTTTTGGGCAGTAAAGAAGGTTTTCATCTTGGTTGTGAAATTGGGTTAGGCTCAGTTGAGCCTTTACTGAGCTGTAGGGTGGTGGCAGTATTGTGGTTTCATGTCATACCTCTGTTTATCCCCTCTCTCTCTTGCTCAGCTTGGCATCGCTGCGGGCTTTCTAGTTCCTCCAGTTCTGATTCCTAATGTGGAGGATGTGGAGAAGCTGGCCTACCACATCAGCATCATGTTCTTCATGACTGCAGGTGTGGCATCAGTCCTGTTCGTCCTGGTCATCCTAGGTAAGGAGGTGGGATCATGCACAGGAAACCAGGTAGGACTGAGAAGATCAGCCTATGTGTGTGTGGGTGTGGGGTCTGTGTGCCAGGAAATGGGTGAGGAAGATCATCTGGTAAGCATGCAGCTGTCAGGGTAATGCAATTCCCTGTCTTGCTGCTTCAAGTCCTTGATGAACTGCACATGTGGAGGGGAGTATAAGAGGTTGTGAGTGAGCCTGCCAAATTGTTAATTTCATCCTTTGCCTGCTTAATAAAACCCTGGCATGAGTAAGTCCTTTAAATGCCAACAGAAGTCTTCTGAGTTTCACAGTCATCTTCCCTGCAAACAGAGTGCTGGGCCTTGGACTTGATGACCTCTTCAGGATAGAGAGAAAGAGGCAGGTTATATGGCATCACAGGAACAAGGTGTTCCTAAGAGAAAAAAAGGTAACTAGTTATGAGTGGATAGAAGGAAGCATTGAGGGCAGTAAGAGGACACTAGAGGCGCAATTCTCCTACTTCATGCTTAATCCATGAAGTAGAAGCCAGATCTTTAGCATGAAAGACTGACATGCTCATTGGAAAGCAGACTTTGTCTACTGAACTCCGTGGAATTTTTTGGATACGCTCCTCTTGCCAATTTGTTCACATTGCTGGTGACTGAATCAGATGTAGACTTCAAAGAATCTCGGGCAGGGAATAGACAAGGTACAAAAATGGCTGTTTAGCACCTGACACAGCAGAATTTCCAGTGACTGGCAATTCTGGACACTAATGCTAGTAAGGGACAGCAGATGGCTTGGCCAGCCTAAAAAGTGCCAGGCCTGAAATAAAACCTGGCATAGGTCATTGCTCACCAGGCACTGGACACTTCAGAGGCTATGTGTTTTGTACACTTGGTTTTGCTAGTCTCTCTGCCATCCCTCAAATGGCTCTACCCACAGTGTGCACTCAGGCCCCCTGATGACACCATTACAAACAAGTATACTTTGTGTCTGGTTTCAGTCTTCAAGGAGAAGCCCCCGAACCCTCCAAGCCGAGCTCAGGCCTCGATCCAGTCAAGACCAACAGCAGAATATTCCTACGTGCAATCAATCCTCCGTCTGTTCCGCAATGCCAACTTTTTGCTGCTTATGGTCACTTACGGTAAGGTCTGGCCTTTCTCCTTTTTGCAGTTATCACTCCTCTCTCCCTCTCTGTGCTCTGCTGGAGCAGTAACTGGCCTGAGTTGTTTTAGGGGAGCATGAAGGTAGCTGTCCCACCACAGACTAGGAATCCTTATAGCCCACTCTCAGCAGTAGTTACAAGCAATGCCTAGGGAAGAATACAAGCAAAGAAGTACACAGAGGACAAAATACTTCCAGTACTGTTCTCCCAGTCTTTGACTGCTTTTGTTCAGGGGATTTCCTTATCCTGTTCTTTTTTCCCTAACCTGTTCTTTTTTCCTAGTCATTTAGTTACTTGCAATGAGCCAATCTAAGTGCTTCCCTAAGAAATATATTGAAGTGTCTAAGTGCACGTCACAGCACTGAGTGAAAGTCATTTCCCAAGGCAAGGTTATGACTGCCAGGCATCCCAGTAGACTATGGCTATGGACTATGCAGATGTGCAGACTTCATCAGCTTCCTAGGCAGTCCCTATGAAACAAATGGAGGGAAAGGCTGGAGACCATCTTCTTATGCCATCTGTCCTTGCACTCTGAATTTGCTGCTTGCTTCTCTTTAGCAGTCTCGGTCTGTTTCTCTGAAGGAAATGTGCTGTGCTGAATCTATTCCCTGATGCTGAATTGGCATAAAGAACAGTGTTTTTCTCTTTAGCAGAAAGGCCATTGTCGTCTGTGCCTGGCTGCATAATAAGTTATACTGTAGCCAGCTAGTCTGCAGGGAGTTGTGTCCTTACTCTTTCTACCATCTTGCTATGGAAGCTCCTCAGTGTGGTGGTTTTACTCTAGGCCTTCCCTGGTTACCAGTTTGTAACCAAGGAAGGGGCAGTGTTCCCAGTATTCCATACGATTTTTACGTAAATCGAGGTATAAATAAGAAGGGAGGAGAGGCCTTTGTCCTCTTCTCTTCCGCCGAAGTTCGGGAACAGTGGGTCCCTGCATTGGTCTCGCTTATCTAAGGCTGAGGCCTGCAGCATCCACTGGCCTGCCACGTGGAGGCTTGGGGAGTGCTGGCTGTGTCTGCCAATCCTGCTTTCTAAGGGACGTGGTGAGATTTGTTTTACTAGTTCTTTTACTAGTTCTCGGGTTTGATTGCGCATATCTATTTGGTGTCCCTTTTTGTTTCCTTTTGTTCCTTTTCCCCTTTCCCTATCCCTTCGGGGGGTGTTTGGATTCCCGTTTGCTGTGTACATAGCATCTTAACTGTAATATACATAAAATATATTTTTTATATAACTAGCTTGATTTTTTTTTTCAGGTTCTTCAATTTGCATAATTTTTTTTCCTTTGCCCTGGGGGAAGAAGGAAGGGGGAAAGGGGGGGAGGCTGCTACTGGGCTTTGGGCATTTGGCAGGGAGCCAAGTCCAAACCATCACACTCAGGTAGAAAGTTAAATATTGCTGAAAGTTCTACCATTATGCCAGCAACTGTATCTGAAGGACCTGGCAGATGAGTAACCAGGTTGGAGAGAAAGAGATAATGGCTTTGAACCTCCTGAGGTTGCTAATGGTCTTTGGGGTTGTTTAAGTCTATGCTTCCTTCTTTCTCAGTGCAATAGGCTTTTAGAAATGCATCTCTCAGATTGCTCTTAAACTCCGCTGGTTTGCATTGCAGCTGCTTGTTTTTTTGTTGTTGGTTTTTTTTTTTTTTTTTTTTTTTTTTTTTTTTTTTTTTTTTTTTTTTTTTTTTTTTTTTTTTTTTTTTTTTTTTTTTTTTTTTTTTTTTTTTTTTTTTTTTTTTTTTTTTTTTTTTTTTTTTTTTTTTTTTTTTTTTTTTTTTTTTTTTTTTTTTTTTTTTTTTTTTGGTTTTGTTTTGTTTTGTTTTGTTTTGTTTTGTTTTTTTTCCCATAGCACATAATGCCCTCTCAGAAAGTGAAGACAAAAATCCCGTCAGGCAGAGTGTGTCTAAAGTTGGATTGTGTCGTGTGCGCAGTACACAGTTATCCCTCAGGGAAAGGGAAGGTGAAAGCATTTATTTTAATAGGCGTAAACAAGTCCTAGAGGAGAGAGAAGGGGTCTCAGTACAGAAGAGCATGTTTAGAATCTGATCTTCCTGGATAATTCCCTTCCCGCAGTCAGAAACAATGTGGAAAAGCTGTTTCAGTGGCTCATAATTTATTTTTTGTTCCTGCTGGTCTGTGCATTTATTCTGTTTCTCTCTGTATCAGTGTCATGTCAATCTACAGCTTGACTTGAGATTGTGACTGTTACTCAGAGAGGGAACTATGCAGTGGAACTTTTTTAAAAACTTCTCTGGCTTTAAAATGGGGACAGTTTTTCCTACTAAAGTCAAAAGTTATGTTGGCCAAGATTTAAAACATCTGCAGCCACATGAGTGCAACTGAGTCATCCTGCCTAGCTAACAGCAAAGATACCTGCAGCCTCTCAGCTTTTGTGTTGTCACAGTGCACGCCAGGAGAGCGAGGGGGAAACCTGCTGCTTTTTCATTTCCCCTGGCTGTAGAGAGAACGGGGATCCTTCCATGATGCCAGGTCAGAACAGGTCTGCAGACCTCTAAGAGCTGGCTATTACTAGCAGCCATCAATTCCTTTCCTGCGGTAAGACTTGCAGTGCTGGCAACATTGGTGGCACTGCTTCTATGTCAGTACTAGTGAACTGTTTTTGAGGAAAGCCCATAGACAGCCTTTTCCACAAGGCTGCTGACATTGCTTCCATGAAGCTGAGGCATAACATGGAATGGACATTAGGAAATGTCTGAGTTAATTGAGCTAGGCTCTGCATTGGAGAGCATGTTGCTACTGGGAGGCAGTAGGCAGGAAAGGGTGGGAAGTCTGGGAAAGGCTGGTAAAGTGAGAATGATGAGGCGGTCTCAAAGTATCAGAGTTTGGAAAGGTGGTGGGGCAGTGAGGAGGAGGCAGGGCAACAAGGTCTGCATAAGGAACTGTTGTCCTGGAGGCTTTCATGGGTGAAGACAAGAAAACCAGGAGTCTGGCATGTAAGCAATAGGCTGCTTACCTATGGAAGACCTGAGTTCTAATCTGAGGCTTAATAAGGGCTCCTTTTGGAGTCATAGGCAATAAACTTCCCTGTTCTGGCCTATGTGAAATAGAGGAGACACTGTGAGGTCTCAAAAATGCTCTTCTACAGCATGTTACAAGCAAACCATGGTAATGAATCAGCTGAGGCTGGACCTTCAGATGTCCTGCTTCCAGCTACTAGTTCTGATTTTCCTCATCTGCATGGGCAAATGACCACTGCCTTGTTGGAAACAACTGTTGCCTGCTTTATGGGCATTCAAACAGCTGTAATTCTCAGTGAAACTTCACTGAGCAACTGTGACATACAAAGTGCCTACAACTTTTGCCAACCCTCGCATATGCAAATTTGGCACATTATCTTGATTCTTAGAATATTTTGCCTGACTATGGTGCCAAGTGTTGCTGCCAACTCTGCATTACTTTCTGCCCAGCTTGGAAGCAGGGGCCCTTCTCCGTCTCGTAAATCATATGCATCACAGAGCTGCTGTGAAGCTTTTGTACTGACAGCATCAACTACTAGAGCAGCATCTGGCTATTTTCACAAGGCTACTGTTCTGTTGGCTGGGTGAGAAGTAGAGGTACGCAAATGACTGGTCTATGTTCATGTCCAGCTTTGAAGTGAAGCAGCAAAGGGACTGTGCTGATTTGCCATACTCCCATGTTCTGGCACTGCAGTTTGCGATATCTCCTAGTGAGTGGGGTGATCCAGAGGTGGAGATACGATGAAGCTGAATTAGGGTCTCTAGAACTGTTTGCTATGGCAAAGTGTTGCAAAAAGACAGTTTTCAAGGGTAGAGGGCGCCTCCTTGCTGTGAGATCTCCAACTGTTCTCCCCCATCTCTGGCTGCTGGCTCTGCTGGAGTTTCCAGCCATCTCGAGTAACCCTGGGAAAGCATTGGGTAGATTCCTCTTGCCTGAAGAGCATGTCATTCAACTTACTAGCCTCTCCTGTAACCTTCTGTCGCATGGTTTTGGAGCAGGAAGCATTGTCACAGACAGTTGGCTTATTTAGGATCACTTGAAGGAGAGCCTTCAGCTTTTGTGTGTGCCATGAAGCTGTGGAGTGACCTTTGCTTAATCATAGGATGGTTTGGGTTGGAAGGGACCTTAATGATCATTTAGTTCTAACCCCCATGCTGTGAGCAGGGACACCTTCCACTAGACTGGGTTACTCAGAGCCATGTCTAGTGTGGCCTTGAACACTTCCAGGTATGGGGCATCCACAACTTCTTTGGGCAACCTGTTCCGGTGCCTTACCACCCTCACAGTAAATTGTAATGTTGTCAGAGATGGTGTGTGAAGGAAGTGTGGTGTCCCCTCTAGCTGCCGATCTTGTGGCTCCTCATAGTGCTCCATGAGCTGTGCAGTTCAACGGGTATTCAGTGTTCAGTGAAAGACTGGGCTAGGCACAGGATTGATGAGTACTTAAGGATCAGGGGAGCTAGAAGACTTCAGGATTAAGGGAGCTCATGGGTTTGTTCCCTGTGTCAAAGCTCTGCCTGCTAGACTGCACTTCTGTATCATTATTGTGAGTTTCTGCTTTTAGCAGAGGCTGAAAGAGGAAAAGTAGGAAGTGGGAACTTGACACATATCTGTTCTGTCAGGATTTCAGGCATCTATGCCAGACTTTTTAAAACCATGCCTCCTTATGGAGCCTATAGATGTGTGAGCTGCAGTGGTGAAATCTGTGTCCCCATCCCACCTCCCTACTTCAGGATCACTGAAGCCTTGAAGAGAAACTAACTGCCAATGTAAATGACTTTCTGAGAAGAAAGTTGTGCTGACTGTTACAGACCTCATCCACCTGTTGAAGGTTTCTCAGTATCACCCAAGGTGAGAGTGTAACCGTTGCAGTACTGCTGGTTCAGTGCACATGTGTATGTTCTTGCCTACTCTAAGCAAAGCTCTTGGATTTTGCACCCTTTTGAGAAGGCGTTTAACCAAAGAGAGTTGCGTGCAAGCTGGAGCAGTGTGTCTGAATGGGGCTTGACCAGTATCACCCCAACAGTTTCATTCTCACCTTGGGTGATACTGAGAAACATTCACCAGCTGGCCGATGCCTGTAACAGTTAATCTAACTTCCCTTTCAGAAATAAAATTACTTTCACGGTTGGTTTTTTTTTTCAGGCCTCAGTGATATCTTTTAAAATGTAAGATTTTCCCATGCAGACACACACATACCAGGTGCCTGGGGGTAGTGCTATCTGTGCTTCACCATCAGTTCTGCTTCTGCTTGCCTTCTGGTGTTTCTTGGCTTGGAGAGAATGTTTTTTTACTGGCTGTCAGCAGGGAGAATGCTATCAGGCTCTTCTCCGGAAGGAAAACTCACATGTCAATGACGCTGTTGTTAATTGAATCCCAGGTCCTTGTTAAAGGTGTGATGCTGAGGCAGGTGCTTTTCTAGTATTCTGACTTGGCTAGGAGGGAAGGAGAAAACTCCAATGCTAAAGATGGATCTGGATGTGAGGGAGGGTTGAAGCAAGACCTTCCATTTAACAGAATGGGCACAGTCCTTCCTCTAGCTGCTAAAGTAAGAACCATCCTGAAACTGCAGGGTGCTTCCTCCTGCATGCTGAGGCCTGAATGTCTGCATTTTTTTTTATGTCTATCCAGTCTGGCTGAGTCTCCTGAGAGTCTGAAGCCTTGCACTGGATCAATGCTTCCAAAGATTCCTCTCTCTGCATTTCTACCCTTTCACAATCCAGCAGGAGAGTAGCAGGCTCTGAATGTGCTGCATTTTTATCCCCCTCTTAGGTCTGAATGTAGGTTGTTTCTACGCCCTGTCCACTCTGCTGAACCGCATGGTGATCCATCACTACCCAGTAAGTGTATCCAACCCTCACGGCCCTCTGATGCTTCCTGTTGTCTAGCACTGGCTGCCAAAGGAGAGTCTATGAGAAATGCAATGTCACAGCACTTCTGGCTGGTTCTGGCACATGTTGGCTGACTGGAAAGGGAGCATTGATTCCTTTTTTTCCTTACACCACCCCATGCAAAAGCTGGTGAGCTCTAGCAAAGACAGCTCCTTTACACCTTGCATGAAAATGTTTACTTCCGAGAAAATCTTCCAGCAATTGACTCCCCTCGTTCCTGACTGATTTCTACTAGGACTTCTGTTCCAGGAGGCTGCCCACACTGGTGCTCTGGTGAAGTGCTTTAGTACCTGAGCTACTGTGGAGCTTACTGCTGGTGCTGCATACCAGAGAACTCCTTTCTGTGCTGCCTTATAGTGGGTCCCAACATTTCCTAGTCAATCTGGCCCAAATCCTAACACCAGAGAGCAAGCTTCATAGGGTTTATGCTGACTCCTCTGAGAGTATCTGTTCATGCTGGCCAGTGCACACCTTTTTCTCTAGGCTGGCTCAGAGAGAAGTGCCAAACCACTTTTCTTACTGGACCAGAATGCAGTGGCTCATAGTGGGCCCAAAAGTGTTCTTGCAAAGGCTAGTTCCAGTTAGTGTATAACCAGCAGAAAACATGTACAGAGGCTAACTTTGGTGTCTCTGCCTCTCTGGATTTTCTGCACTTTGCTTTTTGTCGGCTATGACTTAGCACCTGCATTTGTGTGAGTGTGTGTGTGTGTCTCACCACAGGGGGAGGAGGTGAATGCTGGCAGGATTGGACTCACCATTGTACTGTCGGGGATGGTTGGGGCTCTGATCTCCGGCATCTGGTTGGACAGAACCAAAACCTACAAGTAAGTCCCTTGTTTGCCTCTGTGTCCCTGGTGCCTGTGCTCTTCCCCCATACTATGTGAGTCTGGGGGCTCAATCAGCGGGAGGATTTGTAGGGAAAAATACGGTTCTTCAAAATCCAGTTAGTCTAAAGTGAAGTTTGGAGCTGTGTGTTGGTCTCTACTGGGCCCATATGAGTTCTGGTTCCAGTGGCCCTAGGCAGGCATAGGGAGAGGATGAGGTCGCCCAGCAGCTGCTTTGTCAGGGATGAGAGAGTTCTTGGCACAAGCAGAATCAAGACAGTACCAGACCATTTCTCAGCCTTTACAAACCAGCTTCTGTGAATCTTTGTCCAGCTTAATAAAAGGCACATTGAATCCAGTGCCCAGAGGCATTGTGTGAGGGTGCGTTGCTGTATTTAGGGCAGGCTAAGGGTTATTGGGATTGCTGGTGGATTATTCTGGGTTTGCTGCCTGGCGGGTTGGGAAGGCAGGTCTGGCCAGCATACCCTGCCACCTGCAAAGGGACGGTTAATTCTTTGCTTATCCTGCAGCTCCCAGTCCTCAGGCACTCGGATGTCATTGATGGACCTCTGTAGTCAATGAGACTACACTGATGGGGGATGTAGAGAGCCTCCTGTGTCTTACACTGGGGTCCCTGTAATCAGCTTTTTGGTTTCCCTGCTGGCTTTGAGAACTGTGCTATAACCTGTTGTCTGAGCAGGTTGGTGAGACAGGGCTTTACTGGTGATGTGCTGGTGATGAGTTGAAGGCAGTTTTGGGGTTCTTTTCTTTGCAGCAGCTCTTCAGCCGGGTGAGTCCTACTGCCATTATCCTACCTGGTATCTTGGGCCAGAAAGGTATATTCTCATAGTAGACAGCTTAGATTAATCTGGCTAGCTGTGGGCTTGCAACTTCTGAAGTGGCCTCTGGCCCTAGCTGTAAAGTACAGGGATCAAAAATAGAGAGAAAATTGGCTTCTCTAATAAGAAAGAATGGTAGGTGAGGACTCCTGGGTGATAGGAAAGAGGACTAGATGACTAATACAGAGACTGGCGGGTCATTTGTTGCTGTTTCTAGATGGTTGTGTGGCACTGAGTTCTCATTTGGCAGTCCTGGGAAATAGAAACACAATTATTAGAACTCTTAGAACTGCACTAGCTAACCGTTCAATGTAACTTGTGTCTCTTTCCAGCCCAGGGCTAGTGGTAAGGTAGCCTGAACTGGGACTGCTAGACTGGATGGTCTTCCTGATTCTCTGTAAGTGAGGCTAAGTTGTGGCACAGAAGCTTGAAGAGCTTTGTTGCTCACCAGGCAGAGCTGGGACTTGAAATCTGGCAGAATGGGAGAGGGGAAAAACCCACAAATCCTGTGGTTTTGTTCCACGTCCCCTGCTTCCATGGAGGGACCGCATAAGTAGGCAGAGCTGGCTGACAGTGCAGAAAAATAGGACTATGCCACCCATAGAATTTATCCTACAGACCCTAGGGACTATCTGGGGATAGATTTAGCCTTAGGTGAGGAAAAACACTGCTAAGAATTTGTTCTCCATTGCAGACCACGAAATGGAATTCTGTGAAACTAGCACATTTTTTTTTTCAGAGCGCTACAGAGTCTTTATTTAGCCCCATTTAAACGTCTATTTAAAAAAACTGTCAAGATGCCAGATGTTCTAGGTAGGTACCCTCCCCCTTCCCTCTGTTGCTGAGATAGTGTCAAGAATGAAGTGGTAAGCACATGAAAATCAGGAAGGAGAGATATCAAGTCCTTTTTTTAGTCAGCTTGGAGAGAGAGGGAAGGAAATGAATGGGATCCAGCTGTGATTGAGGGGAGCAGAGGAAGGTTAATAACAGAAGGAATTGCAGAGCTCCACATGTGTGTTTGATCTTTACTGTACCATCAGCAGTTCCTTGAAAGGGTGAAGCTCTGCTAAGTCAGGCTTTCTCCATCTGTCATGCTCGAGCACCAAATGGCCTTTCATTCTTGCTCTTATTTGGCAGGCAAATCCCTGCAGCGGCCCCTGCTCCATTCTTGCTTTTGGAATTAGCAGGCACAAATTTGGTCAATAAAAATAAATACATGAGTTACATAATGATGAGCAAGCAGTGCCAGAACTAGGGTTGTCTCTGGTGGTGTGGCTTGTTAAGAGCAGCCCAGCTCTTCAAAAGAACATGTTTTAGAATCATTGAATCATTTAGGAAAAGACTTTTAAAGTTTTGACATAAAGTTAAATGGGGCTCCATGTGCATCCTTCAGGTTCCCGTCTCAGAGGAGGGATGGGGTTGTGACACCTGGAGACTGCTGGGTGTATTGCTATTTGTAGGAGAGTCTGGCTCGGAATGAGGTATTTGGGGACTGAATTAATCATCTTTGGCCATGCTTTGGTTTCAAGTGCGGTGTTCCCATGGCCTCACATCCAGCTGGTTGCAGTCAGCATTCTCCGCTTTCATTGCTGCATCTCTGTAAGTCAAGACATCAGAAATATCCATCTCTCTCCACTGACTAGGCAGAGGACCCCAAGCGATGTTTTGAACTTAGGTCTGTACAGGTCCAAAGTGCATTAAAATTTGGGGGAGGAGGAAAGACTTGGATATTGGAGAATGGGGCGCTTGGATCTCTTCCACTGAAAGGTGAATGATCTCTCTCAGCCTAGACTGACCAGAAATTTGGGCCATCTTGTTGTAGTCCTTTCTCAGGTTAGTCCTTATGTTGTGCTTATGTCTTCGCCCTGTCCTTCCATATATTTTATATAAACGATTTACCAAGGCTATCCTTTTTTATGACCTTTATACAGGAAGAAAGTGGCATAAAACCAAGTGTCAAAGGATGAGGGGGTGGGAAAATGAAACCAACCTTCTCCAATTCATCTCTTCTCTGGCATCTGACACCTCAGTGGCTTCAGCAATGGGATTCTTCTGGGAGCATAGGGACAAGGCCTTTGTTCAGGGTCCTGCACAACCTGTAATGTGCTGTCCTCGTGGCAAAGCCTGTGGAGGACATCTGTCATCCCAGTCTACAGCAGAGCATTCTGGAGTTGCACACAACATCCCAGTGAGCAGCTAAAACTGTTGCACATGGCTGTGCCCCTGCCCCCTCCCTCCCCCACTTGTTCATTTGTTGCTTCAGATGTTGCTTGACTCGTGTTTTCACAGCTGCAGTCTGGTCCTGTCACTTTGGCTTTCCTTGTCCAAATGACCTTCTGAGACAAGGCTGGGCTGGGCCAGGTCCGTTCCTTATTCTGAGGCTTCCTCTGGAGTTGATTGAACAGCAGGAGTTGTGTTCTTCATTTCAGTCTTGTTCCCTGCTCATGCTGGCTCTCTCTGGCTCTTTTCTTCCGAAGTCTCTCTTTTCTCACAGTCCCTTGCGTGAGCCCTTTAATTTGCCTCTTCAGAAGGGTAGGGAATGTGAGTGGGAGGGCAGATGAGTGTCAGGGCAGGTTAGGTTCATTTAAGTGACAAGCATGTTGGCTCCTTCACAGATCTTCCTCTGACTATGCCACTGAGACTTGGCACCAGTGCCTTTGGAGCAATGTTTCCACATGGGTGCATGGGGCTTCATTCCCAAACTCCAGAGCGCAGAGCTGGATTAACTCCAGCTTTCCTAAGGTGATGTAGCAGGACGCCTAACTTCCTAACTTATACACACTGCACTAGGCAGCCTGGTAAGTAGACTGTCAGTTTTCCAGACAATGATAATAAGTCCCTATAAAGCCATCATGGGAACAGGTTGCTAAAAATACCAGATTGCAGTGCCAATGTCCTCTGTGAATCTGCTTCTCCTTTGTGCTTTTCTCCCTCTCATAAGATTTATGGCTATGATAAGAGGCTTATTAAGCTAAACTGGGCATTCTTTCCATGTCCTAGTGCCCCCAGGGCCACAGAGCATTCTTGTCTTCTAGCAAATGTGGTAACAAAGGCCACTTCCTGAGTAACACCCTGCCTCACTGTCTTTCCCCAGCGGTTTCTTTGTTTTCCTATGCACCAGTGTCTACCAGTATTTTAGTTAAACCCTCTTAAAATTTTTGGGTCTAGCTTGGACTGTTGAGTACTAAACCTCCTTTTTTGTCATCAGTGGTATGCTCGAGGGAGCAAGGTCTTGCTAAAGTCTGGTCTAGCAGAAGTCTGCCTGTGTGCTTAAGGCTGTTTCCTGAGGCAGGAGTTGCTTCCAGAGCTGTCTGTTCAGCTCCCGTGGGGGACTGTGGTGAGCAGGGCGAGTGGCCCCGGGGCACTTCCTGCTCTGTGATTCCCACAGCACTCAAGCCTGCAGCCTTATTTTTTCACAAGGGTCTGTTGATACATTTTATCCTTCTGCAGCCTAATGATTTAGGGAGGTCAGTGAGGAAAACTCTAGTCCCCTAGATCCAGCTAAAGTGCATTAGATGAGGTACCCATGGCAAGATCAGTTTGCTCTGCTGTGCCCCCCGTTTACTTCTGCAGTTTCAGTGGAGAACACTTTGAAGAGCTGTCTGCTTCTGTGAGCCTGCCTGCTCTAGTTCTCAGCGGTGCACTGCATGTTCTGGGAACTTCTTTCTTGCACCCTGACTAATGACATAGCATCAATGTGAAACAAAGTCCCAACCACACCTGGTCACTATCTTGTTCATCACCTTTGCATGGAGATGAGGGGCAAAGTACAACTTTTGGCAACTGTCACGACAGAATCAGATACAAATCACGAGGAATACTTGAATCATAAGCTTAGGAAACTGAGTGAGATTTTGTGTGACTCCTAAGACCTCTGCACTGAGCCAAAAATGGGCTGTGGGGAGAAAAAAAAAGCCAACAAAACCCAGCTGAGTGTCACTGCTGGCAGCGACTAAACTTCTTAGGGCCACAGCCACCTCTTGGAGGCCTGCACTGTATTTTAGCACTGCTGTGTCTTTTACTACTGCTATGTAGTTTGGAGACTCCTGTTTATGGAAGGAGCACCCAGTTGAAGCTTGGTCTGGGTAACCCAAGCAAAGAGCTCTACTTCTAGCTTTGAGGTCCTTTCCTCATCCTTTCCTTTTCTCCATGGCTGCTTGTTAAGGCTTGTGAGACATAAGAACTCATGGGAGATATCTAAGGAATCCGTATAGAGCAGATAAAGGCTTTTACTTGTATCTCTTTGACTTTCTGGGGCTGCTCTCTAATTGCCCAGCCAATCTTTTAGCTCTTTCTTCTGCAGCCTCCAGGCTGTGTGCCAGCCATGTAGCAGCTCTCTGCAGTGAATTACAACAGAAGTAAGCCATCCCTTTATGCTACCTTCACAGATGACTTTTTTCCTCTGTGAAAACATTGGAAAGAACATATTCTGGAGGTTAAGGGATTTAACTACTCCTTTGGTACACAACAAAATTACTTGTCACAGCAAAATATTTAGTCTTTCAATACAATAAATGTGTCTGGTGAACCTTTGTAAGGATGGATCAATAGCTGAAGCCTGAAATTAGCTTCTAAAGTCTGTATTTGGATAAGAATTGACATATAAGTATGACCCCACTGACTGCAGTCATTGCAGCAGTCAGGGAGAACAGAACCTTAGCTAGATTAGTCTGGATTTATCTCTAGTAATCTAGTATACTGGAAACATTTTATTACATATTTTGTAATATTGGCTGCCCACTTGGAGTTGGATTTTTGGCAGTGGTCATTTGCATTAAAAAGGAAAAGTGAAAATAGTTTGAGTTTTAGTTTCTTCAGTAGAATTCTAGGAACTGGTATAAAACACATTCTTTGATGGATTAAGACTAAAATTTGGTAGAAAGTACACAAGCAGCTCATGGTTATACCTTTCACTTCTTCCTAAAAGACAATGGCAAAAAGGATTTATTAACTCTGATAACTGTTCGACTATCAAAATCCTGGTGGAATTTCAGTCAGGTAAGGGATTCTCCTTTCCCTCCTAAAAACTATGTACTCTGAAGAGCTACTGGCTGCTTCTTGTACTAGAAAGAGCCTTGGTCTTTTTGATGTGGTAAGGGTTTCCTTGGTGTCTAGTCAGGGAGGACAATTGCTAAACGTTTTGGATCTTGTAAGGCTGGCCTGGACTGCTGCATGTGTCTCACAACACTGAGTCCACTGATGATCCTTGCGTGGCCTGGCTGCAGGTTTGGCTGTTCCCAGGATCTGCCTGGCATGCTTCCTGAGCACGAGGTCTCTTTGTCTCCTCTGCACAAGGACAAGAGCTTGTGTCTTAGCTGCAGTTGGCTGTGGAACTAGCACTATCCCATGGCTCCAGGGTGAGGCTGTGAGGGCAACCTGGCTTGCACGTCACCCTCCAAATACAGCAGGCAGTTTAAACAACAGGAGGGAGCAGCAATGAAACTGTTTCGGACAGCACTGAAAAATACATGCCCATAAGACTGTAGCAGTGTTGACACCTCTTTCCTTTGCTTTTCTTGCTTGAGAGTGCTCCATCTTCTTAGCTCCTGCATGTTTAACTGGTTGTAGTGCGAGGGGTGCCCATGAAAGATTAGTGATTTGTTTTATTTGGCTTTTGTTCTCCCTGTTAAGTGGCATGTACAGTACATGATGAGGCACCTGTCAGCCCATAGTAGGATTTTCCTTCTTCTGCTCTGCTGTGTACACAGGTCCTTCCATGCTCTCTGTCAGTCCAGTACCTCTGTCTCTGGTAGGAGTGTCAAGAGAGCTGTACAACTTCTTTTAAATTTTTTTTTAACCATGTGCTACAAACTATACCAAGATTTGTGAGCAAAAAGGAGGACTGGATTAAATAAAAATCTGATTGTTTTTTTCTTGCAGACAGACAACACTAGTCGTCTATATCATGTCTCTGGTGGGAATGATAATCTACACCTTCACTCTGAGCCTAGGCCATCTCTGGGTGGTCTTTGTGACTGCTGGCATGCTGGGGTAAGTTCATGTGCAAGCTGCTTTCCTCAACACATTGGAGGATGAGCAGGGAGGCCAAGCTTGTGTGTGAGGGACTGGGGAGAGACATAGCAAGTGCATGGCTCCTGCATGGTTTAAGGAAAAAATTATCTGCTCTTTCGATCTCTCACTTGTATGTGTTTCATTAGAGTCAGGGACCCTATTGTGACCCTGCTGAGCTGCCTTAATTGTTCCAGGCAATCAAGTGGAAACATTTGGAAAACCAGGGATACTGCAGCCCAGTAGATGACCAAGGGGCAAGAATGAAAAGCATGTTGGCCGAAGTGGCTGTTTGACCATGCTGGGGGTGATGCACCTTAGAGCTCTGGGCTGTACTCTGCCTCTTCAGTCTTCCTTCCGGCCGTTGCTGAGTCTTCCTTTCTATGTGCTTCTTTACAGTTTTTTCATGACAGGATACCTTCCCCTGGGCTTTGAGTTTGCTGCAGAGTTGACATACCCAGAATCAGAAGGAACATCATCAGGGCTCCTTAATGTCTCAGCACAGGTAGGTGTGCTGTCTTCCCTTTGCTTGCCCCTTTTTAGGCAGAGATTAAATTGTAGTTCCAAGCCTTGACTTCTATTTCTTGTCCATTTTTAGTGTAATGTGCTGTAGGTCTAAGCACCCCAAGACCTGGCTTTTTGATTTGTGTTCCTCATAGTATTTTTCTAGTGGCAAACAGAAACATTCTGTTTCTGTTTAAGAAAATCCATCTTGCCTTTTCCAACATTGCTCCAACAGCCTAGGACTTGGCTCTTCTCCAGTGAGAGGTGGAATTCCAGTCTTAAGGGTCATTTGTCATCCCATCAGCTGCAAGGAGGTGCCTCTGGATGTGTCTATAACCAAACTTTAGCCTCACTAGGGCAACTATTTGGCTGGCCTGTATGGTCTGATACTTTGGTAAAGCTGGGAAGCTGTTTGGGCTGCTTTATAATAACGGTACACTGGCTTTGTTTGTTTGTAGATTTTTGGTATTGCCTTCACCATTGGCCAAGGGCAAATCATGGATCGCTTTGGAACGAAGGCAGGAAACCTCTTTCTTTGTTCCTTCCTGTTCCTGGGTACCGTTATGACAGGTAATTTAATTTTTCAGTGTTCTTCTGCTTTGACTTTTCCCCTTGGGCTTGGCATATGAGTTGAAGGGCTTTTTGTGTGCCGTGGTGTCTGCAGAAAAGGGCAGAACCCACACAGCAGTCCTGTAGCAATGCTATTGTTCTTCTTTAAGCATTTGGTCTGTGTTACAAAGAAGATCCAAGGCTTCTTGCTCTGGCTGCTGGTAGGGTTTCAAGGTTGCACCTTCTGCATGCTGCAATAAGGAATCTGTATCCTGCTCGTTTCAGAAGTGCTCTCAGCCTCACCCAGGAGAATGGTTTTCCTTGCTCACCGTAACATGGTCCCTTGCTCCCCGTAACATAACAGAAGGGACTTCTGCTGCTCCTTTGAATCCTGGGAAAATTGATTTGGTCTCTGCATGGTGACTTAACTGCCCTCACATCTCTCTTCCTCCCTCTCTTCCAGCATTCATTAAGGCTGATCTTCGAAGACAGCAGGCCAATTTGGAAAATGAACAGACAGTGAGTAAACCCCCCTTCGACCCTTGCCGTGCCCGTTACTAGCTCAGGACAACACGCAACCTCTCTCCTTTCTAGGAAAGGGTCTGGCTTGTGGGGAAGCTCCTTGTTGGCATTTTCAGACAGGTGGATGTAATTCCAGCTCTGCCAGCTGCTGAGGCCTGTTTTTGCTCACTGTCATGCAGAATCTGTAGGCTCTGATCCTCTGTGAGTCTGCAGGGCTTCACACATCTTTGTATTGGCTAGGGCCAGATGTAGAGCATTGCTCTGCTCACTTGTCTCCCCTGAAAATGTGTTGAGCCCTTCAGTGCTTTGCCCTTTTTTAGAGCTGAGTAAATAATTCTAGGCACCTAGGGTTATTCTTCTTATTCCTTGCCATCAGCTGCCAAGTGGGGTTCAGTATATGTGACTGGAGGAAGCTGGATTACAGAGCCCGAATGAGGGCTTGAGCAGCCTGGCTCCTCACACTTTGCAGAGTGCTGAGGACAAAGCTACTAGTTTTTATCTGCACACCAGAACTCGGCTATGATGTCCCTTTGACATGCTGTGCAATAAATGCAGCTGTTTGCATGTGGGAGGGGACCTCTAGCGAACTCATTGCACAGATACTTTTAGAAGCTCTTCCTGCAGGGAAAGGGAGGGGACTGGTTGGTTGAGGCTATTTTCCTTATTGCTCTGGGCTCCTTTTCTATGACATTAGCAGAGATATCCACTCAATGTTCAGGAAGCCATCAGTGACCATGACTAGCAAAGTGTGTAAATCTCAGTTCTCTGCTGGCTGGAGTCAGCTCTGTTCAGAAGACAGTGCTGCCCTCATCCAGGGAATCTAACCAGTCCAGTCTGGAGAAAGACCAGAAAGTCCAAGAAGCAGGTCTTCTCTGACCGGTTGCTCAGGAAGGTGGATTTTCAATTACAAAATACATGCTTTTTAATATTTATTTTGGTTTTATTTTTACTGAACTGAGAGGGTAGGATAAGGGAGTTGATGCTACCTTGAGTAGTTCTTGTACATATAATTCTACAGTAGTTGGATGAAAAAAGGCTGTACAACTTATCCAATTTTGATATAGGAGTCCCTTCCCCCCCACTGTAACCTTCAAGCTTGCTCAGTGGATTTTTTAGGTGAGGCACAGCTTGTGCAGAACTGGTCCCACCCTTTACTCCTGACGTTTATCTGCCAGGGCCTAGCAAGCTTGGACGGTGACAGCGAGGTCCTCAGGATGTAGGTTTGAATTTATAGTATCCCTCTCTTGGATGGATGGCCTTACAGGGCTAAGTGAGCTCCATCTACCCGGGTTTGAAATTAGAGTTGTCCTTCTCCTGGGATGACTGCCAGAAGGCTAGTGAGCCCATCCTGCCCATGGACGCACTTTATCTGACCCTTTAGTTTTGACCTGTCTGGCATGGGAGACCCTACCGGAGGCAAATACCACCACCAGCACAGCTCACAACCCTTATTCATAAGGGCATATAGGCCTCTCCCCACTGAAATAGTATGGACAAGCCCTTCCCTCCTTACTTTTCCCCCACAGCCTCCTACACTCTAACACAGGGACATTTCCTTGCCCTGAACACCCTTCCAAGATGCTATAATCCCAAAACAAACCATTCCTGGGCAGAAGCCGTAGGCAAGACAAGCCCATCACATCCCACCCTCACTGCAACAATGCTGGAACAGAAGTGATCCCAACATACCCCTGGGCGGGGCAGGCACACATGTAAGGGGTCTCTGCATGCACCTGGGGCTCGGATACCTCCCACAGCCCCTGCCCATCCTAAATCCCCCAAGCCCCAGAAAAACCCACTATTCACCCTAACCTTACCCTTCCCCCCCACCCCACAATGTCACCACAAGCCCCTCTCCCACTCTACTGTAATAACTTAAACATTATTTCTCCTTCTTTTTCTGCTCTGAGTCTTACAACTTTGGTTGATTTTAGCAGTGGTGAGCATCATGGTCTACAGGACCAAGCTAGAAGACAACTGCTCTCCCTAGTGTGAATGCAGCTAACTGCAACACACTTAGCTAAGCTGAACTGGAGTAAAGACCAGTCTGTTTTGGTACACACCCATTTGCTTGTATCCTTCCATTAACTGTTCTGAAGTTAAGGGCAGAAGATGAGTTGTAAGGCCAAACCATCCTCTGCAAGCCCTAAGGCAGCAGGGCTGTAATGAGAGGTACTGGTGGCATAGTGAGATAATTCATAACATATATGTGGAAGGCCCAGGAAAGTACCCAAGGTCTTTTGGCAGTGAAGGTGATGCATACCAGTACTAAGGTCCTTTCTGTTTGTCAGACATTTCTCTCACCAGATGAATTGTACATTTTTGCTTAAGCCATTTTTAGTATAAATCTTTCAGTCTAAATACTGTTGTAAGAGCTTGCTGCTGGAGGGGGAAGAGCATTGAGACCAGAGTAAAGGTGGCACAGGTGTCATTTTTATAATCCTAAAAGCCTCCAGAACTGACAGTAGTAAGAACCAGAGAGATGTATATGAGGTAACAGGTCTCAGTCAGTCAAGACTCCTTCCCCCAAGAGTCATGCTTTGAGGAAGTTATGATGGACACCCTCCACAGTCCCAAATGTGGCCCCCACATGGCTGAGCTCACCTGGCTATTTTTCAAGCTTAACAACCAACTGCAGGTGCTCAACCTACTGAAGGTAGGCTAAATCTGGTGTTTGGCACTTAAATGGATGGCTCAGCCAGGGATCAGCCAGCTGGGCTTGGGCATTGTGTGCTGCTGTTGTGGAGAGTTCTGATGGAGTAAGGTATTGGAGCTTTTCTGTGCCTCACACATGCTTGGGTGATTTTACTGGTTTCTTCCTTTCCCTGTTTCTCTTTCCTATTTTGCCCCACTTTCATTTCCTTCCCTACTTGCCTTCATATTTTCAGGGACGGTGACTTGTGACTGTTGTTACAGAGACTCCAAGGCAGCAATCAGATCATGGATTATGGAACTGTAGCTTGTAACTGTAACCCATCAATTCCCACTCCTGCTCACTAGCGCTTATACAGCAAGGTATGAGAACTGCACTAATCTACTTCTCTGAACACTCAGGGGGTGGACAGGCACCAAGCCAATGGCGCTTCTGGGGTGACAGCAATGGCCATAGAGTATCAAGAATCTTTCTGGCCTTCTCAGGTACTCACCTGAGAGGAAAGACAAGACAGCATCCAACAACAAGGTGCAGATCCCACCAGATTCATGTCATATAGTCATAGAGATTGAAATAGGTGCAGCAAGGCAAAGCCTGGTGCTGGATCAAATGGAGAACTGAATTGTCGATCAGTTCTTGGGGAGAGGAGGTACAAACATTTGGAGACTCTTCTTTGACATTACTTTTACAGTCCAGTTTCTTGGCTGGAGGTGATATCCGGAACTCTGTAAAGAGTGGGCTTTGATCACAACCAGGGTGCATGGCCAACAAGAAGGAAGTTTATAAACATCTAGCAATAACAGAGTCATTGGGTTGGTGCCATTTGATATAAGAATGCCCGAAAATTTTAAAGCTCTGTGCTTGCTGGTCTGTGAATCTTGGTGGCATTTGGCATTTGCTCAGCTGTTGCTTGGGGTGGTACTGGGCTTTATTACTCACTGTCCTCTGCTTCACATGACTGGCTGGTCTGCCAAGTTAACCATGCTACCCTTTGCTTTTCAAGGTGTTTGTAGAGTGTATCACTTAGTGCCACAGCCAACAAGACTAACAGGCAAAACCAGAGTGAATTCATTGGGAAATCCAGACTTAATCCTGCTAAGACAGAGACCATGAAGCTGCTATGCTTTGATGGAAGTGTGAGTAAGAGTTCCATGTGCAGGGAAAAATTCTTCTCTAGGTGGAGTGCTTCTGAAGCTGTCTCCATGCTGCAGTCTGGCAGTTTTAGCAGGGTGCACGTGTGGTGTTGATTTGGGACCAAGTAGTTGAGGAGCTGTAGCTGCGTGAGCTGGGCAAACCCACTTGGGGTATACTGGAACTTTTTGGATGGCTGAAGTTTATGTCATCGCCTTTGTCAGCAGTTAACTTGGTGCAGTTGCCAGTGTTACCACTGACATGTCAGTTGCCAAACAGACACTGCAAGCAAAGCTCAAGTATTAAGCTCAGGTATAGATGCCCTATGTCAAAACTGCTTCCATAAAGACTGGTCATCTTCATTGGAGATTCCCTTCTGAACAGAAGGCCCAATATGCAGACTGGACCTACTTCTTGTGGAAATTGGCTGCTTTCCTGAGGCCCAGGTTAAAGATGTGAAGAGAAAGCTTCCTTCCCTGGTACAACCCTTGGATTATTATCCATTATTGACTTTTCAGCTGTGCAGCAACGAGGTCCCAACAAGTCCCAAGGAAAGGCAGATCCTGCTTGACTAACCTGATCTCCTTCTATGACAGGGCAACCCACTTAGTGAATGAGGGAAAGGCTGTGAATGTAGTCTACCTGGATTTAAAGGCTTTGACACTGTTTCCCACAGCATTTTCCTGGAGAAACTGGCTGCTTATGCCTTGGGCAGGTACAATGTTTTCTGGGTAGAAATCTGACTGGATTGCTGAGCCCAAAGAGTGGTGGTGAATGGAGTTACATCCAGCTGGCACCCAGTCACTAGTGATGTTCCCCGAGGCTCAGTATTGGGGTCATCCCTTTTTAATATCTTTATCAGTGAACTGGACAAGGAGATCAAGTGTACCCTCAGTTTGCAGACAACACCAAGCTGGGCAGGAGTGTTGATCTTCTGGAGGGTAGGAAGGCTCTGCAGAGGGATCTGTACAGGCTGGCTCCATGGGCTGAGGTCGACTGCACGAGATTCAGCGAGATAAAGTGTTGAGTCCTGCACTCGGGTCACAACAACCTCATGCAGCACTACAGTCTTGGGGAAGAGTGGTTGGAAAGTTGCCCACTGGAAAAGGACCTGGGGCTGTTGGTTGACCGCTGCTGAACACGAGCCAGCAGTGTGCCCAGGTGGCCAAGAAAGCCAGTGGCATCCAGGCTTGTGTCAGAAATAGTGTGGCCAGCAGGACTAGGGAAAGGATCATCCCCCTATACTCAGTGAGGCTGCACCTCTTGTACTGTGTTCAGACAAGACAGACTGAGGTGCTGGAGCATGTCCAGAGAAGGGCAATGAAGCTGGTGAAGGGTCAGGAGCACAAGTCTTATGAGGAGCAGCTGAGGGAGCTGCAGATGTTTAGCCTGGAGAAAAGGAGGCTCAAGGGAGACCTTTTTGCACTCTACAACTACATGAAAGGAGGTTGTAGCAAGGTGGGGGTTGGTCTTTTCTCCCAGCTTACAGGTGACAGGACAAGAGGAAACAACCTCAGTTTGCACCATATGAAGTTTAGACTGGATATTAGGAAAAAATTCTTCACTGAAAAGTTGTCAAGCATTGGAACAGGCTGCCCAGGGAAGAGGTTGCATCACCATCCCTGGGGGTATTTATAAGACATGTAGATGTGGCACTTAGGAGGCACGGTTTAGTGGTGGATTTGGCAGTGCTGGGTTAATAGTTGGAATTGGTGATCTTAAGGTCAGTTGTGAGCTTCCAGAACATGCAGAGCTGATGCAGAGTTGTGCAGTCCTCACACTTCCCACTGATGCACTGTATCATTGGCTGTGTAGCAGGTTGTCTTCTATCAGTGCTCTCGTCTGCTAATGGTTATAATTAAACAGATGTTGCAGTTAGTAGATTAAATTAGCCTAATGGCATTGTGTACTCCTTGCCCTCTATTAATAAAACTGTAGTGTGGTCCCAACAATCCTTCCACTTTTGTCTACCTCAGTTCCCAGAGCTCCATCTGGGTTAGCTTTCCAATATCAGGACATTTGAATCAAGTGCCCATTTTACACGGTAATGAGACTCTTTATGTGCTCCCTTTGTTGTAAGTGCATCTGAAGCGATTCCAACTTGTGCCTTCAGGTTTCATAGTAGTGTCAGTTGATTCAGCACACACATTATACTCATGAATATACTGTGTACTGCTTGGGCTCATTTCCTTCTGGTTTCCAGCATCCATGAAAACCTTCTGTCATTGTTTCTTTGCATTTTGAAAAAGCACCTTTACTGATCTGACACAGGTTGTTTTGATTTAGGATTGAATTGTTCAAGTCTCAGGCTATGTTTGCTTGGAAATACTTTTAAGCTTTGGTTTCTTTTGACTTAGGATTGAATTGTTCAAGAAAAGTCTTAGACTATGTTTGGAAATACTTTTAAGCTTTGAGAGCTTTTAGGAAAGCACCTATCATTTAGAGTGTAGGATTCTAAAATGGCAGGACTGTCTCTTTGTTCAGACTGGGGTTTGCTAGGCCTCTTTGAAACTTGTAAATTTGATTTATGTGTGTTCAGGGCACTTGAGACTCCTGTCTGCCCATCTAATAGAGTAGTAGATAAATTGATTTTTGTGTGTATGAGAAACATGTTCTTGATAACAGAGGAAAAGTCAGGACTCGATCAGTGCCAAGTACCTTTTTTGCTGGTTGTATGTTTGCCTGGATGCAAAGATTCATCCGATGGATTGCAGTGAAACACCCAAAAGCATGTTGCTTTTCCTTCCAAAGTTAGTGTGATTTAGAGGCTGGCTTAGGGCATTAGGACAAGCATTCCCCCTCAGTAGCTTACTGGATCCCCTTGGAAGCAGTACCATGCTTAGTCTCTAGTGAAATAGTGCCAATAAAAAAATGGAATTTTGTGCAGCAGGCACAAACAATGTGTACCCATCCTCTGCTTTCCAGACTTCCCTTCTCCCTTTCTTCTTTTCTGTGTGGCAAATAGCCTTCTCCATCTGTCCCAAAGCCATAGGCAGGCCATCTCTATGCCCTTTTCCAGTACTGTGACTGCCAGCTGTGAGAGCAGCCTTCCTTTCCTAAGGTGGTGGAGCCTTGCAAACTGGCTGATCTTCTAAAACTCTGCTCCTGTAGCTCCACAGCAGGTGAGTGGTGCTCAGACACCAGAGGTTCTTGGGGAGCCTGTTTAGAGTTGCTGAAGTGCTTCCATAGTGCATTCTAGTGGAGTTTCCCAAGTTTAAATGCAGTTTTTGCCTTATTCCTACGTGTGGCATTACTGCATGCATTCCCTTACTCCTCCTCCTTGTAGAAATTACCTCTTTGCACTTCCTGGCTTTTGCTTCCCAGCTTTCACTTCCAGACATCTCTTTGAAGCTTTCCTGATCTCACTCCTTTGCTTTGGGATATTGCTGCTGACCTCTATAAAACCTTTTCACCTGCAGTTTGTGTAAGAGCCTGCTAAAAGTGAAACTCTTTCATATGTCTTGCTTCCTTGCTGCCTGGACTTTTCTTGAACTGCACTGGGGATGTGATCCTCTTTCTCATGCACCTCTGACTTCTGCCTCAGATGTCAGTCTTACCCCACAGTGAGTAAACTCAGAGCCCAGGCTGCGGGAAACTCCACATTCACCTTTACAAGTCTGCATTCTGTCTTCCGAACTGGTGACAGCTGGGCAGAATCAGAACTTGGAGAGGTATCAGAAATCCCCTGGGAGAAGTCTCGGGTTTAATCCTAACATACCCCAGAAAGGCTCAGAAGAGCTAATCAAGCTCCAGCCAGGCAGGCTGAACTGGAATTGCGAAAGTGGTGGTAATTGGGCAGCAGTCTCTGTTTTCCTTGCTTTTCCTCTGGGAAATAACTCTACAGCTCCCTCCATCTTAAGGTTAGGGTTAAGTTCTTCAGGCTAGTTCTTCTACAGGATTCGTGGAGGAAAAAAAACCTGTTTATGTTTGCTCTCTAAGATAGGACTAAGGAACTTCGAAGAAGGCATAACTCTGTGGAATTATCCCAGCCCATAAATCCAAGCTGGGGATAGGGAAGAAGCAGGACAGATGGTACCAGTCCTGAATGGGCAGTGTGGGTGGGGATGAAAAGACTTGAAGATGAGCAAAACCAGAAATGTGTCTGGGAGTTGAGGCCTCAGACATGCCAGAGGAAGGACACAGAGTTGTTGTGTTGTGCTGAGCCTCCTGAGGATGCATGGGATGCCGGTTCTCTCTGGTGTTTGCACCGACACTGTGCTTCCTCATGGCATGAAGGAGTTCCCAATGCCTTCCCTTTCCCAGGGAAGTAGCCCTGCAATTCACTGCTTTGAGCCTGAGCTTGTGTCACAGTGAAGCGTTGTTGGTGAGCTGGCTGTGGGGCTGGTGCCATTGGAGGTATCAGCTTCACAGTGTATTAGCAGTGCTTTGACAACTACAAGCAAGTAGCCTAATGGAATTTGGACCCTTGCACTACCCTGCTGGTCCAGTGATCCTTGTTTGGGCAGTCAAAGTGTCTGGAGAAGGAAAAGGGAACCAGCTGCACTCTCTGAGGATGATGATTCTTCTTTGGGGATTTCTGCATACTAGCAGGGAGTTAAAAATTAGGCAGGCTCTGGCCAGCTGATGCCTCTGAAGCCTGGGTCTGGCCACCCAGGATCCTAACCATATTGTTTGTTCTGTCTGACTTGCAGAAAGTGTTGCCAGAAGCTTACACTAATCCCATAGTTCTTGAGGAATCAAGGCTGTGAAATGGAGGGGTGGCAGAGCTGGGAGATGCAGCCCCCCTCATTCCCATCTTTGCTACCTGCACCACCCTCCTGTGACATGTGCCCTATAAATGGGAGGAAGCATCAGGACAGGAGCCCAGTGAACTGCTTGTGGAGAATGAAAGAGCAAAACAAGAAGGGGGCTGCTCTCTTCAGTTACACCTTTGCATCTTGCTGTTTTGGAGACTTTGCTGCTTGGGAAAAAAAAAGTTGGGAAAACCCACTGTGTCTCACCCCATTGGAAAAACCACATGTGCTGAGAAAAGCCACAGTACCAGGCTAGCCCTGAGCACATGAGGGTGGCACATTGCGTGCGGCTGTGTCTCCTCTCACAGGCCAACTGGGACATGAAATGCAGCAGCTGGACCACACTTTGTGAGTAGACCTACAAGAGCTTTCAGCTGGCTCTCGGGAAGAGGGATTGGTCTGCCTCGGTGCCTGTGATCCTCTGTTGCACAGGTGATGGTGGAGGCCTCTACATCACCAGCAAGTGCAAAGCAATGCATCAGCCACTGACAGCTCTCTTTGTGTTATTTGGCTTTCCCAGATGAAGCACTCTCAGTTTGGAAAAACCTCTGCTCAGAATTCACTGGGGTTAGCCTGATGTCCCTACATTATTAGGAGTAATTGAGAGATACCAATATGCCTCCTTCTACCTGGAGGCAAGGACTAGTTATGCAACCTAAGACTAGCTCATCACTACATTAGTAACAGAAGTGAGTCAAACCACAAGTTTGACTGTCTTCCATCTTAGTAAAAACGTGCCTTTTGCATTTTTCAAGAGTACATAAAAACTTTTGTGAAGTGTTATTTTGAGAAAACCAGCCAAGGCTGTGTTGCTCTTCACAGCCATAGAGAGGTGTATGATGGGAATCCAGATTTGCTCCAGTGTGGAAGCTGCCCTCTTACCAGCATTTGTGTCTTATAGACACTACCCATCTGTATGCTGTGTATCTTGTAAACATAAATGCAGATCCTTACATCACTTCTCCTTCCTTTGCAGCATCCCACCCCTGGTGGAGACATTAAGTGTCCTTATACTCCTTAAATCATGCAGTTATTCATTTATCTTTCGAGAGAGGGGACAAAAACTGCACTGAGGTGAAACAGTTAAAATACTCCTCTCTGACATACCATTTTTGACAAAACATTTTTTGCGTGAAATTATAACAGTCTTTTGATATATTGCATTTTGATACAGCCTGCCTGAGTTCAAGAAGTGTTTGGACAATGCTATCAGGCATATGATGTGATTCCTGGGGTATCCTGCCCATGGCCAGGTGTTGGACTTGATTCTGATAGGTCCCTTCCAATTCAGCATATTCTATGATTAAAGTCCTATCTTTGGTAGTTTGGGATTGAGGATGGGGTTTTAGAATGATTTTAAATAGAAGTTTTAATGTAAAATCATTTGAAGTGTACAACAAAACCTGACACATTCATATTAAATATTTGAAACAATCTACATGTGGCTCTTTTAATAGCACAAAATGTTTTGCAGAATGGAAAAATCATCTTTCTGCCCAGTGCTACTGCTGTGCTCTTTTCTTCCCTTCTGAGTTTTTCCTCTCTTTCTTCTGTATGTGAATTGTCTTCCCAGCTAGGAGTTCCTGCTGGTTCTTTCCTACTTTCTGTGTGCAGTCCACTGTTTTGGGCATTATTTTGTCTAGGTCTAAGCAACCTGTTCCTGTTTTCACCATCTTCTACAGTTAAGAGTTCACTACAGAGGTAGCTCAGCCCTTGCTCACAGATGCCTACAGTTCAAATCTGCTTTCACCAGCATGCTGTGGAAGGGAGAGCTGCAACAGCCCTCTTTGTGTGTGTGATGTGAGCAGTCAGACATGGAACTTTGTGGAAAGGAGTCAGGCAAAGGTAGGTTTGCTGTAAAGAGAGATGATGTATCCTGCAACATACAGCAGAAGCCACTGTCGGCTCTGATCCTCTACCCACTTCTGTGTAGCAGAAAGACAAACATAGCGTGCTGCAGTTTTGTCATTTATTAGAAATGGCCCCTGACGAACACACACATGCAAGTTACACAGCAGTGCCAAGGATAGCACCTATTCTCTCTTTCTGGTCCAAAGTGTTCAGTGAATCCTGGGTAGCCCTGCACCTTCTCCCTACAGTTACACTGGGAGAGAAGTCCTTAGTGCACTGGGCATGCCTGAGACTTTGCCTCTGTCCAGGGAGTCAGTCACCAAGTGCCCCCCACAAGCCCGACACAAACTCCTTTGCATCTTTGATATCAGTCAGTTGTAATGTTGCATGGACAAGAAAAAAAGACTTGGTAACGAACAGTGATTGACAGAGTCCAACACTGATCCACCACTGGAACTGGTGTCCTGGAGAAGTTCAGCCGAGCTTTAGTTGAAGTCTGGCAGTGAAGACAGAAGATGATGCTGACCTATACAGAGCCTTCACCTTCAGTTTTTCTTCTTGTTTTGTGATAGTGCTTCTACCTCCAGGTACTGCAGCCCAATCAGCATCCCCATAATAGAAAAACCTGTGATGGAGATACAGGATGAGTTGTGTAGAAAATGCTGGACAAGAGATGAGGCATTCTCTCCCACCATCCCCTCCCTGCCCTTAGCCTGTAGCTGCATGGGGAGTTTTTCTGGGGGTTCATAGGTCCAAGGAGAGTTTGTGGGGGGAGGATACAGAGCAATACTTACTTGCTACCATGAGGGGTGCCATAACTCCAATTGTCAAGGCTGCAGTGCGGTAAATGAAGACCTCGGAGAGGAAGTGAGCAAGGGCCAAAAAGAAGGTAAAGAGCGTGATGTGATAAAGGCTGTTGGAGAGCAGAAGAAAACAGGTTATTATATCATACTATGGGCATGAGTATGGTCGAGTGGAAAAGAGGCAAACCTGCATGCTGTCCACTCTGCCCTCACTGGCAGCACAGAGGGCATTCAGTCCCTTGCCTAGTGAGGTGCAAAAACTCCCTGGGCAACAGCTGAGGGGAGAATGGGGCAGAGTGTTCAACGGTGCATTGGAAGTCACAGGCATTATCTGGCCTGAAGGCAGGTGAAGAGAGGAGAGCAAGAATAGGGCACTAGTGAAGTGAGAACTATATGCAACCACGAAAAGAGGGTGAGAACTGGGTGAGCAGAGAACTTAGGGTGACAGGATTTGGCATCACCCAACATCTTCCCACCTATGCTCTGCTATGCTCTAGGGCCCACAGCTGATGAAAGGGAGCAAGTCCAAGAGATGCAAGATCAAATCCCGCAAAGGAACAACCAACTTAATGGTATTTGGCATTGTCACTACCCCCAAAAACCACATAATTGAATCCCTGCACCTCCCTATCTCAGACAAGCCTAGGCAATCCAAGGATGTGCTGCCAGATGAACAGTGACTTCTGCTGTGGAGCTGAGGGAAGTGGTGACAAAAGAGTGTGTTCTAGGAATCTCCAATAAAGGCTTTGCCTAGCACAGACCCTGAGTCAGCCTGCTTGGAAATCCCTCTCAGAAACATTTCTGTTAGCAAAGGGAGAAATGGCCTGCCTCCCACCTCAGCACCAAGCTGCATCTCAGGCCTTGTCCTCGCCAAGTAAGAGCGTGTGGAAAAAGGCAATGGTTAAGGCCACTGGAAGGGGGTGCATCAACCTGCCACAGTCTTCACTTGAGCTGTCATAGTACGAAAAGTATTGAGCTTCAGTCAGACCACAGCATTAGCAACTGCTTCATCAACAGAACAGAAACACCATTAGAAAATGCTTTCCAAGCTGGAGCTCAGAAATTTGTGACAGAAGCTCTCAGATCTACTTAGCTTGAGCTAACAACAGAGATCAAGTACGCAGACTGTCCCCACGGAGGCAGAAGGGAGCAGCTGCTATCACACAAATCCTGTACTGCTATTTGAGCTTTTTCAAGGGAAGGCTGTCAACACTATAGGAAGTTCAAAAAAAGCTTTTGATTCCCCACCTTCTCCGCGCTGCCCTCTAAGCTAGCTGCTCAGGCTGTGACTAGTAAGCAAACCAATCGGGCACTGCTTTACATACGTCCTGTTGCGGATGTCAATGGCGCAGAGGCAGCGGATCACTGACGACAGCAGAGTCCAGACGCCGAAGGTCCGAGCCTGGAGCCCGTTCACTGTGCAAGGAAGGAAGGACCATATGGACACCACGCTCGGCCCCGCCTGCCACCCCCAGTCCCGCCGGCGCGGAGCAGCAGGCGGTTCCGGGCCCCACAGGTGGGACCCGAGGAGAGCCCAAAGCCCGTGGCTGGAAGCAGAGCTGCAGGCGCCGAGGCGGCCGGCGCTGCCCTTACCGAGGCCGGGGCTGGCGGTGTACAGCTTCTCCGAAAGGAAGCCGTGATCGCGGAAGCTCTGCAGGGTGTTCCCGGCGGCGATGACGGACACCATGACGAGCCAGCTGCGCAGCACGCTCAGGAACCGGCTCATCCTCGCGCGCCCGGGCCCGGCCCGCTACCGGCGGCGCTCCCGCGGCGCTCCCGCACCGCCCCGCGCGCGACAACGCCCCACGCTGCGATTGGACGCTGCGCGCCGCTCCACGCGCGCCACGTGACGTCAGGGACACCCCCGCCAATGGGATCCCTCGCAGCGCGGGATGCGGCCCCGCCTCTCCCCGGGGCCCGGCCCCGCCCCCCGCGCGGACACTGTGTGTGGGGAGGCGGTGAGCGCGCCTGCGCAGTGAGGCGGCGGGGGCGCCTGCGCGGGGGGCGGGGCGGCCGCCCGTCGGTTGTTGTGGTAACGGGGAAGCGGCGGGAGGGGCCGGGCCCGCCGGGTACGCCCGGGCCGCCGCGCGGGGCAGGTACGGCGGGCACAGCGACCCGCTGCCGTGCGGGTCCCGGCGTTCTTGCGCTTCTGGGGTCGCCGGAGGTCGCCGTGCTCGGCCTGGCGCGGGGTAGGCCGGGCCGCAGCCGACCCTGGGGCCGGAGGTCCGCTCCCGCGCCGGTGGAGGCGTTACGGTGCCTGGCTGGCCCTGGGCGGCGGGCTGTTCTCAGCAGGCGTTTCCCGTTAGGCCGGGCCGGCCTGGCGCGGGTCTGCGGCCAGGGGCAGGGCAGAGACGGGACGGGACGGGACGGGACGGGACGTGCTTCACCGGTACGCGCTCGAGGGGCTCTCGCGGGCAGGTGGGGAATAATCTCTTAGAAGGTGATACTTCTTCCTGTACTCTCCTGGCTAGGAGGTGATTTACAACCTGTAGTACACGCCCTCATTGTCCTGTGAGAAATATGTACTGGCAGGAGATGGAAGTTATTTCGTTTCTTTCACTGCTCTGCTCAGCTGTGCATTCGTGCTTTTAATCTGTTTTGCAGGTGACACTCCTTCCAAGAGCCCTTGAATTTCCAGGAAGGAGTGTTGGTGGCTACTGAGACTGAGCTGTATGAAAACTGCAAGAGGAAATGCCAGTCGGGATGGCTAAAGATCTAGAGGAAACTGGCTCATCCTCAGAGGAGGAGGAGGAGGAAGATGCTATAGATGGACTGGAGTAAGTAGGGAAAACCCCTTTGAACTGTTTCTGTGTGCCTATGCTTCCTGAAGGACTTTTACTAATCTGAAAAGACAATTGCATTTCTTACCCTCCTGCCTATAAAGCGGAAGATAGTTGGTTTGGATCTCAGGCCTCTGGGCAGGCTGCCTACATTTATAGCCTAAAAGACTACCATATTCACCAGGGTTGCATGTGCACTTTTCCTTAGCTGCTCTGAAGTCTGTAGTTTCATTCATTTCTTTTTGTCACGTTCCTAAGCTGGGAAATTTTTTGATTATGTCCTTTTTTTTTTTTCTTTTGATTGTTTCTTTTGTTTTGTTTTAGCTTTTACTGCTGCAGAGAATAGAAATCTATACATTAGAATGATATGCAATGTTTTATGTCCTTTTAAAAACTGCCTTTTGAGAACTCAACTCCTAGAGTTCATGTTGCTTACTAGTATAAGTAATTATGCTTGTTCCACTTTTTTTAGTAACCATTTTTATCTTTGCTTATGAAGAAGTGGCTCCCTTTTTCTTTGCCAGAGTAGCATCCCTTTTCTCTTTCGGCTGTAACATGTCCTGTTAGTTTTCATTTGGGTGCACGTTGTGCCTGAGTGCCCAGTTACAAACTGCAGCAACTTAAGGCATTTAGAGGAATTTCAGTTCATACCAAGTGCTTGGCTTGGACTTGCTAGATCCTCATGGATGGAAAGGTCCAGAACTGACTTCACCTAGAATGTAACTTTAATAGTGTGTCTGCATCAAGTGGCCAAGGGTTATGCTAGGAATGAATGACTGTCAGTGGGAGGATTGAGCCTTGCTGCAAATCCTCAGGACAGGCTTAATATAAACTCCTGTCCTTTTGCCTCAGCTCATTTCCCACTTACATAAGGCTCTGGCTTGTAGTGTAAATTCTGGAAGCTTCCTGGGTCCCTTCCAGTCTTAACAGCTAATTACACCCCAGTAGTAGGTTTTGGGGTTTTTTTAACCATTTTTAGAGGTAGTGGAAGC